TACTAGTCTTTCTTTTACCCCAAGTCGTCGAAAGTCCTCAGAATGTATAGGGAGCTCGTAAGTCATTATTACCGCATGTTCAACATTACCGTCTACTGCTCCCGATTGCCTTCCATGCATATGCAAGTTCGGTGTCTGTATGCATGTGAACGTCGCTAGGTTCTTCAAGACAATTCGTTGCAGATTTGCCAGCATATCCAAGCGTGGCGAGAGACTGCATGATGATTGAGCTCAGCCCGAGTCCCTCGGAGCTCTGACCTCTGCAGGATTCTGGCTGATTTCTTTCAGTACTCGTCTCTTGAATTCTCTCAACGGTTGAGGACTTGAAGACTTGTCCGCATGCCAAAGTTTAGCTGGCGCCAGTACGAATCCGGTCAGTATCAAAGGTTTTGTGTTTCGGGATTGGCGCTTGAAGAGCGTTGCATCTTGTCCTCCTCCCACCCCCCCTCTGAGCAGTTCATAAAACTCTCGAGGTCCATCCCTCGTTTATAACCCACGTCTTGTCTTTTCAGACAAACACACATTCTTTGATTCCTGCACAGTCTTTTCCCTCGACTCCAAAGATGTACACCCCTCTCGCGCTCATTGAGGCCATCGCCTCCTTCGCTCTCAGTGCTCAAGCCATCACACCCAACAACCTCGTCTCCACGTCCCTTTCTGGCGCACTCAGCGCCGTAAAGTACACCTCTGTCGGTGGTTCTGGGTCCTACAACCAGGTCACGAACATGCTGCCTGGTGAATGGCCGTCTTGCAATGCCAACCCTTCTTGCATCACTGCCCCAAAGGCCGTCAGTGGAAACCTCGCGCCCTTCGACGAGGACATCACCGTAAACTTCCGTGGTCCCATGAACCTCTTTAACATGGCTGTTTATCAACCCGCGAACACTACAGCTGCAACGTGGAAGCGCGTGAGCAACTGGGCGGCAAACCAACAACCTGACAACATGGTTTTCATGAACAACCTGGGCGGTGGCAATTCTGGTGAATGGACAAGTGAGCCTTCATTATGTCTAGCTAAGACGATCGGTAGCTGACTAGAACCATAGTCTGCGGTGGCAACAGCCAGTCCTACGCTAATGGTGATTGGACGTCTACCGTGGCTACGCCCAATGAGGAGCTGTTCCCAGGAAATTTGCCTGCCTCAAAGGAGATTGTATGCACCTACTTCATCCTTGATACTTTCAATTTGTACTCATCGCACGTCTAGAACATCATGACGGGCACAACCTGCGCTTCTGGCAGTTGCGAGGGATTCTCTCGCGGTACTGCCAACGAGGGTTGGGCAGGTTCGAAGATGTTCGTCGTTGACTTCGAAATGCCCGAAGATCCTTCCTCCCTTCCCGCTATCTGGGCTCTCAACGGCCAGGTCGTCCGCGCTGCTCAGTACGGCTGCAATTGCCGTGGTATGGGTGGTGATGGAGGTTGTGGCGAGATCGACATCGCCGAGACGCTTGTAGCGAACTCCCCTCAAGCCATCTCCGAACTTTACTCTTTCAAGGGTGCAACTGGGACAGGTGATGGCAACTACTTCCCCCGTCCTGACAATGGCCGTGACACCCTCGCTGTCATCTTCGATATCAAGACCGATGCTATCTCCATCGTCCGTCTCACCAAATTCGACTACACTCAGACTCAGCTCCCTAGGAGCTTGATCGACGGCTACCTCACCGCCCCCGCAAAGGGCATCTCCTTCGCTACCAACCAGCGCAGGTCTGAACGCCGTTCCTTTTTCCACCGCCGCGCCCACTAAGTCCCGTCTCTTTCCCCCATACCCGACTTAAATTACACTGTAAATTATTGGTCCACTGTCGGGCCGGCCGTAGATCCTTTTCTAGTGCGCTTTCCTGATGTTTTCCCGGTTGTTCTGTTCATTCCGTTGCGCTTGTCGAAATAATTCTGTTTGGTCGGGGAGTCTAGATGTATTCCCTCAGATGTAGTCTCGGTCTCAGCTGCACAGTTCAGTTGAGCTTCAGGCAATGTATTGAAATGCATATATGTTATCCAAGACATCGTCTGGTTGTTTCACATGTCGCTTGGTGCTATCTCCTATCGCTGTTCACATGCACAGGCCGATATTTCCGACCCTCGAGACGGTACGCTTTTGTTCTCAAGGTATCGCGATAAGCGTAGTGGACCCTCAGGCTACCTCAAGGCTTTTCGTCATCGGGACCCTTAGTGCGCGGAATTATCTTTGGGGTACTCGCGAATATGCCGTAAGCGTGCCGCTGCTACTGGGGGGGTTAGAAGCTTAGGAACTACCATTGAAACTTGTATGTTTTACGTGATATCGCCGAAGTGTGCGAGTACACGAGGCGAGACAATCGAAAGGACAAACCGCCTGTGAAGCCAACGACGTAAACATCTCTCCAACTCGCTGTACACGCTGACGTCTGTTCGGCAAGAATCCAGGGACATATGTTCGGGCCTGCATAGCGGTGGTCTGACAATTCAGGGATTATTTATCAGAGGGAGAACGGTGAAGCGTCCGGGCGTTGCGACCGGCGCCACGTGGCAATTAAGCTAGATGGGCGCCAAAGTAAATATCGCGTATAAAGCCGGTCGCGATTTACGAGCTTGTCCCCAACCTCCAACTTTCAGTCCTTCAAAGCAAACACCACACAACTTCGTCTTTGACCTCCTATCACTTTTCTGTGGTTGAGAGCACATCCTTTGGTCGACTTCACCCCTCCCCGTGCATGTTCTCTAACCAGCTTGGGAGCAGTCACAACCCTCACCGCGGTGGTAAACATACCTGTTCGGACGCACTAATATTCAGTCATTAAAACGCCCTCGTCTCCTGTTTTAATCACTCAATCGCAATGTCTCACATCTCTTCCTCCGGTCTGAACACGCCCGAGTCCGAGCTCGAGTCGCTCGTGCCTGTTCACCCGACCTCTGCGCGTCGTCCGTACTCCCTCGTCGTGCAATCGGAGAATACCTCCTATTCCGACGAATACATCACTTCCAAGTTTACCAATCGCGGTGCGGATGTGGTTGTCTCCGACGGACAATTCATCGTCACCCCCACTTCCAAACCCTATGAGTTCCAAACGGCCAGGAAAGTCTCCAAGACTGGGTGAGTTTTTCTATGAATGTGCAGTTTCTTTTTTATAGTTGCTGACTGTCGTTCTTGTACAGCCTGATGCTCATTGGTATGGGCGGAAACAATGGCACGACCCTATGTGCTACCGTCCTCGCCAACCGTCACAATATCTCCTGGCACACCAAATCTGGTGCTCAACAGCCTAACTACATCGGTTCCATGCTCCGTGCGTCCACTGTCCGCCTTGGCATGGATGCATCCGGTAAGGACGTCCATGTTCCCGTTTCGGATGTTCTACCCATGGTACACCCCGACGATCTCGTCATTGGTGGTTGGGACATATCCGGTGTCCCTATGGATCAGGCCATGAAGCGCGCCCAGGTCCTTGACTGGGACCTTCAACGTCAGGTTGCCCCTCACATGGCACGCATCGGCAAGCCTCTCCCATCGATCTACTACCCAGATTTCATCGCTGCCAACCAAGAGGCTCGCGCTGACAATGTCATACCCGGCCAGGACAAGCAGGAGCACCTCGAGCGCGTCCGTGAGGACATTCGCCGTTTCAAGCGCGAGAATGATCTTGATCGCGTTGTTGTCTTCTGGACCGCCAACACTGAACGCTACAGCGATATCATTCCCGGTGTAAACGACACTGCGGACAACGTCCTTGCGTCTATCAAGAAGTCGCACTCCGAGGTCTCTCCTTCCACGGTCTTCGCTGTTGCCGCTATCCTTGAAGGCGAGCCCTTCGTCAATGGTGCTCCTCAGAACACCTTCGTCCCCGGTGTCATTGCACTTGCTGAGCGTCACAACTCGTTCATTGGTGGTGATGATCTTAAATCGGGTCAGACGAAGCTCAAGTCCGTGCTCGCCGAGTTCCTCGTCAACGCTGGTATCAAGCCGCTCTCCATTGCCTCGTACAATCATCTTGGTAACAATGACGGACATAACTTGTCTGCCGAGGCTCAGTTCAAGAGCAAGGAGATCAGCAAGAGCAGCGTCGTCGATGACATGGTCTCTGCAAACGCTTTGCTTTACAAGCCGGCCGAACAAGGAGCGGTCAAAGGAAGCAAGGCTGCGAAGGGTGAGCACCCGGACCACGTCGTCGTGATCAAGTATGTGCCTGCCGTTGGCGACTCCAAGCGTGCCATCGACGAGTACTACTCCGAAATCTTTTGCGGTGGTCGTTCGACTATCAACATCTTCAACGAGTGCGAGGACTCGTTGTTGGCCACCCCCCTTATTCTCGACTTGACCATCCTCACTGAGTTGCTCACGCGTGTCAAGTACCGTGACGCTTCTGCTCAGGCTGAGTTTGCACCTCTTTACCCTGTGCTTTCTCTCCTTTCGTACATGCTCAAGGCTCCTCTCGTCAAGCCAGGTATGCCTTCCTAGAATCTTTTGACTGATGTATGCTAAATGTTCACTCGATAGGTACCGACGTTGTCAACAGCTTGAACAGGCAACGCAATGCGCTCGAAGCTTTCTTGAAGGCGTGCGTTGGCCTCGAAGGCAGCAGCGACTTGCTCCTTGAGACGCGTATCTGGTAGACGCTAGTAGAGTGAATACAAGTGGCTTCTCATAAATGGTTTCTCGGTGATTATTTTCCGTGGCTAGAAATAGTTTCTCAACAAACTGTAGACGTGTATAGAATGCCATTCAACTGGTTGTTCGATAGTATTCCCTATGACTGAATATGCACTTTGTCATGCTTTTGTTGAAAATGAGATATTGTGCTTTCGATCCGCTGTCAATATTGTCAAAAGGTCGGTAACAGACCCAGAAAGTGGTGCCTTTGCTCAAATCTGAAGTTTCTGAAGCTTATAAACAGTTTACAACCCTTTCTCCTTCTTTACGGCATGAGTGTAAAGGTAAGATAAAGGGTTTGACAGCAGTTGAGTGATTCTACAAAACATTTCTGATTCCATTAAATTCATTTTCTTTAGCAGCAAAAGGACTGCCCCAGTGAGGGTTGAACTCACGACCTTCCGATATTTGCGAATCACAAACGTAATAGGTTAACAGTCGGACGCTTTGACCAACTAAGCCATGGGGCATATGTTTTTCATCTTGCACCTCTCCAACACCATGTCCCACTTTATCCAGAGTGGCAATGATGGTATACAATAAATACGGTTCCTAGCTACCGGTTTCCTATTCCCTTTATGAAATGAAGATGCCAACATAACGGCTACACCTGCCAGGATATTGGTGGACGCAGTTCGCTGCATCCTAAGACCAACGTACACAACACCTATTAAGTAAATCTATAAGATAAAGCACAGACGGACGCCAAGCAGATCTACATGTGTGTTATCTGCCACCCTTGATTAACTTAACACCCGTGTCGCGGTCCTTGCTAGGATCGACCTCAAGGTCCATGAAGTCGGTCGAGACGGGCTTAGCGGTGCCCACAGGCTCGTCACCACAGCCACAGTCGTACGTGGCATCAAGGTTGGCGCAATCGAACTCTGGCTTGTGCAAACGGGCATTGACTTGGTTGTGGACAGCACACAGCCTGAGAGAGTTTGAATTGGATTTAGATGACAACTTCTCGGGTTGCAACTATGTGATACTCACCAGGTAGCAGCAGCTCGTCGCGAGGACGTCTATTGAGTGCGTTAGTTATGGAAGGTGTGCATATAGAGATAAACGATGCATACCTGCGGCGGGAACTTCTTCAGAAGCTGCTGAAATTCCTCTGCACATTCTCCGCACGGGTATAATCGCGAGAGGAGATGGAAGTAGCTGTTAAGCGCATCCCTCTCGTCTTGAGTTGGTGTCTACGTGTAATGATCTTCTAAGCCTGAGAGACAATATGCATAAAACGACATGCAAACCTCCGGGAAACGAAGTGTCATCGTGTGACTGTACGTGAAACATAAAGTTAGTATAGCCAGTGTATAGGATGGATGGTAGGACTCACAGCAATTTCCACGTTGCTCGCCCTAGCTCAGCTCTGGAGGTACCTTCATTTCACAGTACCTCTGATAGCGCGGTGCACTCACTTCGCAGTGGCATTCCCGAGTTTCGACATAATGACATCGCCGTGTACCCCTGCTGCAGCGGTCGCAGGGTACACATGAGGATCTTGCTCTACACCTCCTTCTCCAAATAAATCGCCCGTCCAAGGGTCAAGATATGCTTTAGATGGGGCATGAAACAGAGTGAGGGTCCCGAAGAGAAACTGGTGGGACAAGTGGGTATAGATGCATGACAAACGAAGGCTGAGCGCTTGCACAAGGATTTCACAGAGAAAGTTTGCGCACGAGAGCAAGTACGATCGCCAAGAAAGCCTTGCTAAAGCGAGATATCATCTTTGCAGTCCGTCGTGAGTAGTGAAGGATTGAAAGACGAGCGTAACTAGAGTCCAAGAACAACACCCGGGTGTGATTATGTAAGCTGCTAGAATGGGTTTTGAGACTCACTGCCGACCACAACTTTCAACTGCTTGACGCTATTCACTTCAAACTGCTCGTGAGTGTCATATTCCATATTCTCAGACTCATCTCACATCCTATATATTTGCCTTCAGTTCATCACTTTGTGCGAGCCTATGCTAGGTCTTTGCGCCTTTTCCCAGCCCAGGTCAGTGGTCTACATCTTACTATGCGAAGCCTAGAAGGCAACTTAGAATGTGCTGGTAGTAACATGATTGAGGTTATGCCTTAGATCTATAGCCATTGCGTATAGATCACGGCTGTGTATCATGCGAATTGGCACTTGATCATGTTCACGGTCAATTACTAATCCCGAGTATCAGAAGCATATATTTACTATAAATTGCGTTGCAGATTATAACATCCGCATAACAGACATTTCCGCAACGTGTAATGGTATGCCAACATCTAATGCGGAATCCGACCCAGAAGTTGAGCACGGCCATGAATCAGATGTGGACGCCGTGGACCGCAGACTGCTGGAACGATACCTCACATATGTTGCCAACCACATGAATCACATCCGGTCTCACTTGGCAGGGCGCGATACAACTCGTCCACTCCCACCTTTTTCCCTCCCACCGAACTCCCACTGGACGAGTATAGAAAAAGAAGCATTTTTTCATGCACTAAGCGTTCACTCGCGTCTCAGACCAGATCTCATCATGGAAGAAGTCAAAACAAAGACGTTAGCAGAAGTGTGCACTTACCTAGATATCCTGCACGAGGCTCTAGCAAAGGGCCGTCTGCCATCAGTTGACGGGCTTTCAGGTGATGGCGATGTGGCGTCTTATATCCCTCTATCGCGGAACGAACTTCCCATAGCCTATGAAGTCTCCGATAGGTGGATTTCTCACGAAGAGCGCTTGGCAGCAGCCGTCACTTCTGCAGAGCCTCGCATGGCTGCTGAAGGCCGCGAAATGGGTCGGGAAAAAGAGATTCATACACGAAGGAACGAAATGCGGGCTAAAAAAGGTAATGCAAGGTGTGCGGACAATAACCGAGACAGAGAAGGCGAAAAGGCTAGGAAAAAACAACTCAATGTCTGGATAAAGCAGCGTAAGACTGAATGGGACGTGGATGAAGCTCTCGACACCTTGGACCACAGCATGTTGACGGCCATGGATACTCTCTTGCGAGAGGACGAAGAAACTCAATCTACTTCTGCAGTCTTTAGTTCTCCTAGTCGCGAGCCGAGCCGAGTAGCCGACCAAGTAGTTAAAGAAGAAATCATGGAAAACAGAATGTCTTTGCGTCCCCTGGACTTCGACGATGCACTCATTGATCCCGCCCTCCGAGCTCTTTCTGCATCTGCATCGGCCACTGCTGCAGAGACACCTCAAACAGAGGAGGATCCTCTAATCTCTCGACTGCCCTCAGCTTCAGCACCTGATTTCAATCCTATCACCCCTCCATTCGCAGAAGTTCAGCTTCTTGAGCTCTCTGCAAACCCAGAACGAGCCCAAGAACGAGCTCAACATGAAGTGCAATCCCTTGCGAACGAGTCCGTAATCTATCCAAACATGGATCCTTTGCTCACTCCCAAGTCTCGACGCCGATTTATGAAGCGAATGTACATGCGTCGTAAACGAGCGGAAGCTACTGGCCGTGTGGTAGAGCAGACTCTAAGCAGACTCAAACCCGGACGGAAGAGTAAACCTTTGCCTCCGACGCCCTTCGAAACAGCCGCGCTGGATGAGACGGGCGAGAACAACCCAGCAACTGGAGAGCCATCGCTTGACGGCGCCCCCGACCAAGAGGAACATTCATTCCGCCATGCACATCCGTCGGGGCTGACTCTTCCATACAAAATGCGTGCCAGGCTTAATGCCTTAGGTATCAACGCTGCTTGGTTGCGAGAGGAAGGCCTGGACTTCTTCCATATGACTTCAATCGGTAGGCTGATGCGGTAAGTGCTTAGGTTCTCCTATGTAAATCTCCGCCTGATTTTATGCCATATAGCACCTATCGCGCCATGCATGATGTTTCTCCTGAAGTGAATTCGCAAATATCTGCAAGTACAATCAGGCTGCTCCTTGCTCATGTGGTGCATTTCGTCTCTGAAGTTGTTCGACGAGCAATCATATCTCGAGAACAAGAAATGATTGCGAAGACGCAAACCAAAGTTTGGAGACTAGCTGAGAACCAAGTGAGCTTTGAATCCTCCGGAATATATATCCAACCTTACCGACATCATTCTGATTAGGTGGTCACCGCATCTAATGTCGCTCATGCCTTGTCCTTGTGTGGTGCAGATCATTTGAATAAGAAGGCACATTTTCAGGGCCTACTCGACGAGCTCGACGAAGACGAATCTGGACATGATACAGACAGCGATGAGGAAGCAGAAGTCGCTGACGCGGAGATCAATAGTGCGCGACATGATTCCACTGACGAAGAGAATGAAGTCGATCAACTAGATGAAGAAGACTATAACGAACCACCAAGTGATATCCTAGCTCCCCTCCCCCTACATCGTCTTATATTTCCTCCTTTTATACCGTTGCGGTATTCCCTTCAGTCATCCTCATCTTCGTCCGTACTCTCGTACCTCCCCTGGGCTACAGGGCTGTCTCTTGATATCCCGGACGACGAGGACGACCTTGAGCCTGTGGAGATAGACGAAGACGCTATGAATGCAGAGTTTCAGGAGGAGGAACTTGACAGCTTGGACCGCACGTCAGGGCAGAATCATGAAAAGAGACTCTGGGAGGAATTTGAACGTCATACGAACGAAAGCATCGCGAGTAGCTCTAAGGGAAAGCGAAAGCGAACGGATGACGACGACGACGAACACGAGAGGCGGCGAGGCGAGCGGTATACGAATAATAGTATGCGATTCCGTGAACCGGGCGGCCGTATCAAGAGCTCCGTATATATTGAAGACAGCGATTGAATGGTCCGTGCATATATACAGGTGAGCTCACATTTCTGACTGCGATATCGCAATGCAACTAATCTGACACGATCATACTCTGAAGCTGCGTGCTATGTCTCATTACATGCGAGGTCCTGAACACCGAGGTTGGTATGGGCTTAAATCTTACCCAGTGTAATCAGGATGCCGACAATATGCCCACAGGTACCCAACCTTACAAAAGTACTGTATATAGCTTGTCTTTGTTGCGAAGCTTCCCCATGTCATAAAAGTATCATTACTTTCGGTAGCCCCCGATGTATGCTATAATCCTCTGGAATCTTTTCTTACCCATTACTCCTTTATCTTCTTGGATCGCTTCACCTCTAATGATTTCAGTCTAAGTTCCATTTCGAGTAAAAAGAGGAATAGAAGCACCCTCGAGGTGGGGACATGTTACCATATATTGATGACGGTCATCCCGTTAAACGGCGACTTGGACGTAGCTTCTGAAAATCAGACGTAGGACTCCAGAAAGAAGCTAGAGATTCTGGGCCTGAAGAGTATGAAACCGTCATCATATTGAGGGTTCCTGCAAGATGACGATGAGCGTAGTGGCTAAGCCTGCTGCCTAGTGCGCTGAACAAGACACTCTTCCAGGAGAAGAAACACATTAATGTATTAACTATACAAAACACTACTGCACAAACTGGCACAGGTACCGGGGGCTACCTATGAGAATACCTGAGTAAGAGAAATT